GCAACGCCGGCCACCGCCCAGCCCCCACTGCGCCCTCCCTTCACCTCCGCCCGCAGCCCTCCTGCTTTCCTCCGCCCCCCTCCCCATTCCCCCATCCCCTCCACCCTCCAAAGGCGCGCAATGTTGCTGATCCTGTTGCTCTTCCTCCTCCTGCTGCTGCTGCTGCTGCTGCTGCTGGTAGAAGGCGAGTGGCGCCCGTGCGGCTGAGACTCCTGGTGGGGCCCGGGGCCGGAGGACGCCACGACTACACCCGGATGGCAGCGGCGCGGGACAGGCGCAGTGCGGGGTGGCGGGCTGGGGGCCAGCTGACGGCCTCTTGTCTAGAAAAAGCAAAGGTTCCTTCCCCATAGAAGTTTTCGGTCAGGAAAAGCACGTTTGGCTCCTCCTTTATTCTTTCACTTCTCAGGCTTTTAATTCTTCGTCTGTAACGCCTAGGGCTTACCTGGAAGAAACTAGCTTTAACTGAACTTTCAATTCTTCCTTCTTCAATCTTCTGTAATGTTCCATGGCCCACTGGGTGGGTGCCCAAGTCATTAGATTTTAGTTCCAGGATGTTCACAGTTTAATCCCTCAGGATTGGACCAGATTTGGAGGTGTATTTTTAGACTCGTTGGGCACTTTAAAGTTTCATTGAATTCTGAATTCTCCAATTGAGACTCTGTGAAAGTTCAGACCTGGTTTGACACTGTTTCAAAAGGATGTAGTGGGCCACAGTGGATAGTTTGAACTACTTAAGAAATGAAACCATTTCAACCTTCGTTAAGCACTTTAGAAGCCCTTACTTTACATGCCATCAGATGATGTATTTGGAGCTCCAGTGGCACAATCGGTTAGCGCGCGGTACTTATAAGACAGATGATGTATTGATTGCAAATCATCCTTATCTACTCATTAAAACAGTGAGAGTAAGGCAGGGCCTCAGCTTGCTAAATACTTTCATTCAGTTGCATTTCCTCAGATACTTGAAATTATATGAACACTAGAGGCCTGGTGCACAAAATTCATGCACGAGTAGGTTCCCTAGGCCTGATCAGTGATCAGGGCCAATTGAGGCCTTCCTTCCCAGGCCTTCCTGCCTCCTCCTTCTCTTGCTGCCTGCACATGCTCTTGCTGCAGCTGGTCACCCGGCATGTTCCACGCCACCCCCTGGTGGTCAGCGCACATCATAGTGAGTGATCTAACTCCTGGTCTCCCAGTGGAACTCCCGAGGGGACAATTTGCATAATTAGCCTTTTATTATATAGGATAAGCAGATAACACACTGTCCCTCAGACAGTTGGAGGGCCGGACTATAGTTTAAAAAAAAACTATGAACAAATTCCTATGCACACTGCACATATCTTATTTTGAAATAAAAAAACAAAACGGGAACAAATACAATATTTGTATTTGCATGTGGCCTGCCGGCCGTAGTTTGAGGACCTCTGCACCCAGGTGCTGGCTGCCAGCGGGAGCTTCCTTCATCCCATGCCGCCCCCTGGTGGTCAGCACACGTCATAGCTAGCAGTTGAATTCCCGAGGGAACAATTTGCATATTAGCATTTTATTATATAGGATTGTATGTGTCCAAGTACCATAAAATTCAGAATTTTTATCACCTCTTGTTTTTATTTCTCTTCATTACAGTGGTTTTATTGTTCTCTAATAAAAGATGAGAGGCTAACTTCTGGGAACAGTATTTTCTGAAAAACCCCAAAATAAGGATTCTAAGGGTACATAGCACATATTATTTTATCACTGTAGAATAATTACTAAAGAAAAAAATCACAAACATCCCATTAAATATTTATTAGACGCTCTCTTCCTTGAAAAGACTATAAAGGAGGACAAAGGGGATGGAGAAAAACTTTTACAAATTTCTTAATTTGGACCCAATTATTTCATATTTTATGGGCAACTGGAATCCTGAACAGTCCTATTTACATATTCATTAAAAGCAAGTTGAAATATTTTGTTAGATTAGAGATTAAATCCTCTTCCTTGCTGTGGGCACTTTAACTGCTAATTCTTGGTTTCATCATCTTTAAGAAGGGATGACAGTTCTTATGTCACAGAATTATATGAGACTAAATAATTCATGTCAAGTACTTAGAGCACAGTGCTTGGCGTATACTGGTACTGTCAGTGCTTCATAAATGCTGTGCTCACTACCATTACAAATGTAGATCACAGTATTATATTTTTTATATATTTTTATTGATTTCAGATAGGAAGGGAGAGAGAGATAGAAACATCAGTGATGAGAGGGAATCATTGATTGGCTGCCTCCTGCATGCTCCCTACTGAGGATTGGCCCACAACCTAGGCATATACCCTTGACCAGAAGGGTCCCAGGCTGGGACCCTCAGTCTGCAGGCTGATGCTCTATCCACTGAGCCAAGCCAGCTAGGGCCACAGTATTATATTTAACTAGAGGCTCAGTGCATGAAATTCATGGCCCCAGGGGAGGGAGGTCCCTTAGCCCAGCCTGCACCCTCTCTAATCCTGGACCCCATGGGGGATGTCTGAGTGTTGATTTAGGCCGGATCCCTGTCTCTCGAAATCTGGGGCTGCTGGCTCCTAACTGTTCGCTTGCTTGCTTGCCTGATCACCTCAACCCCTCTGCCTGCCTGCCTGGTTGTTCCTAATCACCTCTGCCTGCCTGATCACCCCTAACCACCTCTGTCTGCCTGCCTGATTGCCCCTAACTGCTCCCCTGCCAGCCTGATTGCCCCTAACTGCTCCTCTGCTGGCCTGATTGCCCCTAACTGCCTTTGCCTCAGCTCCACACCCAGGACCCAAGATTCCCTCCTCCGGCCAGCCATAGGCACTGGGGACCCAGGTTGGCCGCAGCCACAGGGGACCATGCGTGGGCAGCTTTGCCCAGGCCACAGCTGCTGGCACCCAGGACCACAGGGTGGGCAGCTTTTCCCTCTCCTGAGCCACAGCCACAGCCAGTGGCACTTGGGACCACAGGTGGGCGGCTTCACCCGAGATCGTGGGCAGGCGGCTTCGCCCAGGCCCAGCTTTGTCAGGAAGGACGTCCAGATGGTTGTCCGGAAGATGTCTGGTCTAATTAGCATATTACCCTTTTATTAGTATAGATGGGGATAGTTAGGTTGGAAACAATCTAAATCTTCAACAATAGGACCCAACAATGATTATTTTGCAACAATCATTGAGTGATTGTCTTCAACAATCATTCAATGAAATGTTGCAAAATAAAAATCTTATGACCAAAGAATATCTCGTATCTAAGAATTCTCACAATATAGTATAAAGTAGAAAAAGCAGGATATCAAATGTCATTTATATTGTGTAATATTATGCAATATGAACGCCAGGTATGATTATGGTGACTTTAATTTGCTCCTTTATACCTTCCTGATTTTCTAAATTTCTACCAGGAATACAAATTGCTTTTATGAAAACTTATTCAGAAACAAAGTTACCCAAGAACTTTGACCACCCTCAGAAAAATGTTAGCCAAAATATCAATATTTAATCTAAATCAAAACAGAATATGCTTTGAGCAAATGTCCATATTGCTAAGTTAATAATTAAACTTATAGAGTCCTAGGATAGAATGCATCTTTGAAATCCCTTAAGAATATGCTACCTGATATTACTTATCTCTACAGTGCTCTAGCCACACAACTAGATTCAAGGCCCTTAAGATCTGTAGTCATTTTGTACTTCTTGGTTTCCTTAGAACTCTGGAGTGTGGTGGTGCATAGTAGAAATTTTTTATTAATAACAAAGAAGCATACCCTGCCGGCGAACCCAGCTGACATGGCTCCATGGTTGAGGTTTGACCTATGAACCAGGAGGTCACAGTTTGATTCCTGGTCAGGGCACATGTCCAGGTTGTGGGCTTGATCCCCAGTGTGGGGCATGCAGGAGGCAGCAGATAAATTGCTCTCTCTCATCAATGATGCTTCTATCTCTCCCTCTCTCTTCCCCTCTGAAATCAATAAAAATATATTTTTAAAAACTCAACTCTTTAAAAATGTAACAAAAAAGCATAGAATGAGTCAAAACAAAGGAAATGTTTTAATATTCATAATTTACCCTCACTACTTCCAAAAAAGGATCTGAAATGGTTTACAGTAAAAGACTTGTAGAAATTATCATTGCTATTTTTTAAAATATATTTTTATTGATTTTTTACAGAGAGGAAGGGAGAGAGGTAGAGAGTTAGAAACATCGATGAGAGAGAAACATCGATCAGCTGCCTCCTGCACATCTCCTACTGGAGATGTGCCTGCAACCAAGGTACATGCCCTTGACTGGAATCGAACGTGGGACCTTTCAGTCCGCAGGCCGACGCTCTACCCACTGAGCCAAACCGGTTTCAGCTCATTGCTATTTTTTAATGGAAAAGCAAAATTGAGCGTTGACCTATGAGCCAGGATGTCATGGTTCGAGTCCAGGTCAGGGGCACATGCTGGGGTTTCAGGCTCGATCCCCAGTAGGGGTCATGCAGGAGGCAGCTGATCAATGATTCTCTCTCATCGTTGATGTTTCTATCTCTCCCTCTCCCTTCCTCTCTGAAATCAATAAAAATATTTTTTTTAGAAAAAGCAAATATACCCCAAATTTAAGACTATGTAGTAAGATTGAAGCATATTTTACATTTCTTTCTGAGTTCTGTGGAAGCCAACGCAGAAAAGAAAAGGAGGATTATGAATAGTGATTTTTAAAATATAGATATCAGTTCTTTGAATGTAAATGCATTTTCCTGGTACTAATTCCAAAGCATGCTTATTCTTTTTCAAAGAGTATAGAACAACAGAGATGAAGGTGTTTTTAACAACAACCCCTTATCTTAAAAGAAAATATAGGGACAATCTTCATGTGACTGTTTCTTGCAGTCACCTTCCATCAATGCCAAAGGGATAACACTGGAACACATGTCATCAAAGAGAGGGACAAGCAACTGACACCCATCTCTTAGCGCTGGTGATGCTACTTGCTACACACTTAGAAATTCCATAC